GAAGGAAGGAAGGAAGGAAGGAAGGAAGGAAGGAAGGAAGGAAGGAAAAAACTGTACATGTATGTTTATCCTTCTACCATTAAATGTGTATATTCTAGTTAGACTGCCAATATTATTGGTACACAAAGCTCTGAAAGCACAAATGTGTGTATGTTTCCAATTCAATAAAATATATTTAAATGTTATTCACTTGGCAATTCTTTATGCTTTATTCGTGGATGAGCGTCCCACAGGGAGGAAAAAAATGAATCAGTTTCTGAGTAAATCAGTACTCAGGGGCAAAATGCACTTACTATGTTTCTGTACGAGAGAATCTTTTTTAAAGCTTCAAAGTGGTTTAATATAATTTAAATTAAAACAATATATAAAACAATCTTAAAAACAAAATTAAAAATCTAGGGAAATTAATACATAAATGAAAACAAAACTAAAGGATATTTTTTACTAATTTTCTCAAATGCCTCCAGGAATTAACAAGTCTTGCCAAACCTCTAAAAGATAGACATATTTCAAAGGGCTTTAGATGTTTGAAATATCTAGGAAAAAAATCCTTTTTTATCCATCAGCCTGAATTTCAGTAAGAAAATTCAGTCAGAGCCTTTGCATTTGGGAATATATGAAAGCAAAAGTTCTTTTATCTTAGATCACGAATAAACCCTTTTTCTGGTCTTTGGAACACAAGTCAGAGTTTCCCTTTAAAAATAATAAATAGAATCATGACAATAAATGCAATTATTTCCTTTTATTAACATATAATTAATATTAAGCTAGATAACAATGCATTAACTACCATATAAATAAAAGTCTTCTAATTGGGTCAATTTCCAAAAAAAGTATGAATAGGAAAAAATGTAATTTGGATCATTTACAATAGGAAAAGACTTTACTATTGATACATTAAAGCCTGAAAGTGGAAATTACAAGAGATTTAAATGTAATTTAATGCATACTCATGGATACATAGATATATGGACTTGTGAACACTGCAACAAAAGCACATGTATTTTATTCAGAAAGACATAAATCTCATGCTGCACTTTATTTAGATACCCAAAACTTTCTCAAATTTCCTGCAACAAATTCAAATTGTACCAATTCTTATATCAGATCACACTCCAGTGATTATCGCACTTAAATTAGAAGAGATTGTTCCATTTTCTCAATCCCATAGTACTGTACTATGAAGAAGGAAAACAACAACTTATCCAAACTTTGAGAATTTTTTTTCAAGAAAGTAATACAAATAAAACATTTCTAAGAATATCTCAAAAGTGCTTTTCCAAGAAGCAACTGGACTTTCTTGGTTTCTTTCCTTGAAAATGTTTGTCTTCTCACCCAAGAAGCTTTTTCAGTTCTGAAGAAGCTGAAGAAGCTTCTTGGATGAGAAGCAACATTAATTTAAGGGCGGGTGGGGGGAGGAATCAAGAAAATCTTGTTGTCTTTTGGAAAAGCACTTTTGGGATAGCAAGATAGGATACTATAAAAAGCAATCTTAAGAGGTGGGTAAATGCATTAGATCAGCATGCTTAAAAAACAAACACAAAAAGCAAGTAAACTTTATTTGGAAATTAACAATTTATTAGCAAACTATTATAGAACTAGATCAGATACTATTTACGAAGAGTTGAATGGTTTGGAGACAGAAAAATATCTCCCAGGTTATTCTTGCTAAGTAAATGTATTATGAATATGTAAATAAAAATTCTAAAATATTGGCAAATAAAGTGAAAAAAGCTAAGAAAAATATGTATAAATGTAATTTTAAAATGCAGTGTCAAATTTTGATCAAATCCAAAGGTATAAATGAACAGTTTAAACTTTTCTCAACAATTATATTCTTCAAATAATCAATCATCAATAAAAATTAATTAATTTTTAAATAGTTTAACATTCCCAGAACTGCATGTAGAATATATTCAATATATGAACTCTCTTTTTTACATTTCAGAAATTTCTGAAGTTTTTAATATTATTTAAAATAGTAAATCTTCTAGTCCTGATGTATTGTCAGGGGAATTTTATAAAGAATTTAGAGAGATTTTAATATCTGGATTTTTATTTTAATGCAATACTTTGTATCAAGGGGATCCTTTAACAGAGTTTTGGAAACAGTCTAAAATAATTCTGATTCTTAAGTTGAGTAAAGTCTTGAACATTACATTATGAAGTCTGACCTCATCCCTCAAAGAAAACAGCTGGTGATAAGAGATTGAATTATGAGGATAGATAGCCATCCTATCTTCTATGACAGCCTTTCAAATACTTGAAAATAGTTATGTTTCCCACACAATCTTTCTTTGGCCAGGCTAAAAGTACCCAACATTTCCAACTGTTCCTTGTGAGTTTTTTCTTCCAGATTTTTTGTCATCTTAATTGCCCTCCTCTGCCTTCTCCCTGTACATCATCAAATAGACTTCCAATGAATAGCAACCAAGATTTTCAGAAGCAAAAAATCTTAAAACTTCACATTAAAAACTTCACAAGCTTAGCACAATTACCCAGAAGTATTTTCAAGCAAATATACAGAGGGTTGTGTTATTAGCTTTTATTGTCTTTTCTTAACAACAGCATTATTTCCCAGAGTTTGCTGAATTGAGGGACAACAAACGCCTGTAGTCTGCCCATAGCTTTATTTCAATTTTGTATTTTTGAAGATACACTGAATATTCATACTTTTGTGATAGACAGATCACAGCATGCTATTTGCTGAACGTTATTTTTGCCCTTTGGGAAAAGGACAAAGACTTGTCAGGCACACAGAACAAGAACATAGAAAATAGAATGACATCTGCAGCAATAACATTTCACCTCACATTTAGGAAAAATTAAAGAACTTGGTTATTGATACAAGAAGCAGCCCTGCCAATAAAGTAATTGTGTGTGTGACACTTACCATATTTATTGATGACACAGGGCCAATGCTATTAACATAGATGTCAACATCAATGACTGTGGGTTTCGCTGTGAAAGGAAAACCAAAAAGGTGGCATTTAATATTGTCTCAAATACAATACCACTGTATCATGTTAAACATTTTTATAACTATGTCATTCTGAACTTAAGTCTGCTGTGGAATCACGAGACTAAATAGGTTTTTGGTTGGTTGGTTGGTTGGTTTGCAAGAACCTTTTCAAACTGTCATACTTGTAAGACACGCAGCTTCAAGATTAGGGTTTATATTTGGTACACCATACTCTATTTTTTCTTCAGTTCCATCACTGGTATTTTGGCTCCAGCCTCTGTAGTGGTTAAGAGAGCAGGCAGGAAACCAGGGGACAAAGATTTCTAGTCCCGCCTTAGGCATTTATGCCAGCTGATTGACTGGTCATTTTCTCTCAGGCTGAAAAAGCAGGTAATGATAAACCACTTCTTCTGAAATCTTGTCATAAAACTTGTTTGCCCAGATAGTCATCAGGAATCAAAATTTATTTTTCTTCTAGGATCTCTAGAAATGAAAGGTCAATGTCTCTTAAGTGTATCTCTTAAACTGCATAAGAACTTTATTAAGCCTTTCAAACAAAAGAAGATAAAAGACAATCGGTGATCTCCAGCTAAATAGAAGTTCATTCACACCTCATGATGACATTGTCTAATGAGATGGCACTATTAACACACAGGGTCATGTTATGTGTCAGAATCTAAGGTGAAATAGTTTTTGGAATATATGTAAATACCCAATCACACCTACGTGCAAAGCTTGAAACCAAACACATTTTTTCCCCCAGCAGCCTTGCAGTCTCATGAAAAGATGCAAATACATAGCTGCCGGCAGATGCTTTTTCTGTCTGTCCCTGTAAAACTCCAACTCTTTTTTGTAAAACTCTTTTTTTTTGCCTTCAGATCTAATGCACACATGCCTTTCCGAATCAAGACTTCTGATTGAGAGTAAAGCCATTGTCCTGCCCTGCTCTGGGAAGAGAGGAAGAAAAGGAAAGATTCTGACAATTTTTCAGAAGGAAATTATTTCATAACATTATAAGGATTATTTCCTTATTTTCCTTAGAGAAAGAACAAAACCACTTTGTCTGCCCAGTAAAAGAGAAAGAGGTCCTTAAAAGCTGGTCCCTCTTTTGCTCCCCCAAACTGTGAGGATGGTATTATGTTTTGACACAGGAAATCAAACACTGGTTCATTTCAGGATATCAACTATTCCTGCATGCAGTTAATAGTAAACAGTAATAAAATAAGCAGGCAAACAAATAAAAAAGCAAAATTGTGGGTATATTATCCAACAGCTGGAGATATTTCATACTCCATTTCATACATTTCAATATTCCAGTGTCATACTGATGGCTGATGCTGCCTACAAACTTCGAATTTCTCTGCAAATTTTATCCTCTGCCCCATGAATAAGAATAAGGATATCATTGAGGTGAAGGTTGGGGTCAAGAAATATATAATGACATTTGATATCTAGACAGAAACAATCCATTTAAAACTATAGGTTTACGTAAGAAGTAGGAGTTTGCTTCCTCAAATTTATTTAATCTACTTTTAAATTCTGCAATTCTCAAAACCTAGAAAGCCATCGGTTGCTTCTGTTGCTCTCTCCTAGCACAGCCACAGGTGTGATGTCATTGCCTCTCCTTCCTTTCCAGTATTGAATTTAGTGTTTAAACTTCCTTTCTTCTACCTCTTGCAATTCCATTACTGCTCCAGGCTCACAGCCCTCCTTCCTCTTCCTGTAAAGTGTAATGCTTGCTACAGAGTGAACAAGCATCAGGGATTTTCACAGAAGCCTCATGACTCCAAGCACAATTATTCTTTCTTTGAAAAGCAAACAATGTTTAAAAAGTATAGAAAGAATATTCAGGCTTCAGATCCAGGTTGGGAAATCTCTTGTGACATTTGTCTTGTGACTCTCCATCCTCACCCCTGAGAAACAATCTGATTGAGTCTACTTGCTTAAGGCAAAATCAGTTCAACGCAGGAAACACTTACATCCCACTAATCTAAATACACTGTGACTTCTAGATAGATTCCTCTGCTTATCTTCTCAAAAGGAAGTTCTGTTGAACAAGGCAAGATGTTTCCTGGTATCAAATCTCTAGTTGAACCAGGAATACAACACATCCTCTGGAGAGCCAACAGGTAATGAGCAAATAAATATAAAGAAATATAAATCCTAAATAAATATGGTCCATGAGTTTGTTAATAGCATAAATAATTACAATTGACCAAATAGTAAAGTCACTTTTGATCCATCAAACTAAATATGTACTCCCAAGATTCAGTATTTATTGTTTTATATCTGTCATTACCAACATCTGGCAGGCTACAGTATGTAAAGGAACAGTATTCAAAGCTCAGTTTTAAACAAAATATCTGGAAATGTGGCATTTGTCACACCAATAGAAACAGTTATATTATATGCACTATGCCTGCTGTATCAAAGGTGGTTTTTCAAGAGGCAACTGGACTTTCTGCTTTTTCTTTGAAGACGTTTTGCTTCTCATCTGAGAAGCTTCTTCAGGTCTGACTGGATGGTGGGAATTCAGAACTGAAGAAGCTTCTTGGATGAGAAGTGAAACATCTTCAAAGAAAAAGCAGAAAGTTCAATTGCCTCTTGAAAAAAGCACCTTTTGGACAATGACTTGGATAATTAATAATCTCCATAGACACTTATGCCCGCTGTAAATATCAATCATGTTGTATAAAACAATGGTAACATATATGGATAATCTAAAATAGCTAAAACACTACAAAACTTAGCTTTCTTGATGTATTTTAATGATAAAGGTGGACCACGTTAATTGCCTGAAACATCAGAAAAGCTGTTAGTTCACTTATTTCAAAAAAAATCTATAGTGTAGTTTTATCTGATATAAATAACTATATATTTTAAAATCAGTGCAGAGCAGGAATCACCAAGCTCTTCACTTCATCAACCCCTTCATAAAGTTTCATATGACTCCAAGAATTTATGTTATGAAAATAATTGAATAAATCCTAATACTTTAACTAATAGTATTACAAAGTAATATTATTATTATTATTCTCCTATTGCTCTGAGTGTTGAGAATATATAGGCTCGCTAACAGAGTTTAAGATGAGGAATAATTGAATAAATCCTAATACTTTAACTAATAGTATCACAAAGTAATAATATTATTATTCTCCTATTGCTTTGGGTGTTGAGAATATATAGGCTCGCTAACAGAGTTTAAGATGAGGAAATATATTCAGTGCAGGAAGTGAACAGGAACAGGAATAGGTTTATTTTTCCTGGGGCAGGGAAGATGAGAGTGAGAAGAGGAAGGATGGAAGGTCACAGCTATACAACACAAAGAGTACTGTTAATGAGGCCAAATAACAACAAATGGTTGATAGAAACAATTCAAGGCTGCTCTCACTGGCAATTGATCATCCAAACCCTGAAAGCTACATCTTTTTTCAGGACTAGAGACTGGAATAGAGTTCTATAGAAACCTCAAAAGATTAATTGATCCCAACTGACCATTAATTTTTATCAACCACTTATTGACCCCAAACATCTATTGACCTCGTGGATAGTCTAATTGAACTTGGAGGTGAAATATTGACTTCTTTGGGGATCTCTGATACCGAGGCTCCAGGTTTTCAGCTTCAATGGATGAACTCTCTTCTTACACTGCAAGATAAGGAAATGCATCCCTAGTATACCCATTTTCCCCCTGACACATCATTTTATATATCTACCTCATGTGTCCCTTTAGCACACCTTCTCTCTATGTGGAAAAAAGAAATCTATTCAGTATGTATTTCTTTGTATAGGACTTATTAGTGACTCCAAGCATGACATTTATATTTGTTTATAATTCTTGAGGAGAGAAATGCAATGGGTCGATATTTTTACTGAGTTATCCCTCGTGCCTGCAAAATCTATTTTCATGCTTGATTACTCCAGTTCAGATCTCATTAATATATATATGAAACTGAAGTTTTATAGCCAATGTACATTACTTTGCACTTGCTTAGACTGAATAACAATTGTTATTTTAAAGTATTTACTAACTTTACAGTGATCCTTTAGGAGCTTTTTGCAAATCCTGTTTCGAGTCTACTACTTTAAAACCTTTGATATTATTTGTGTAGTAGACTTTTTCAGAGGTATATTTGATCTGGAGACTAGTACACATTACACTGAAGCACAAACTGATTTATTGGTAGTGCTTGAGGCAAAGATGGGCTATGCACTTATGTAATCAGAATATACACTGGGTTGAATTTAGCAGCCAGGTATTTAATTGGATATCACACATCCTGTGTCTAGTTAGATCAATTAGGCCATTAAAACATTAGCATGAGGTCTACAAAGAGGTTTTGAAGAAACAAAGGACACTATTCCAACCTCAACAACTTTAAAACATATGGGCTTCAACTTTCATAATTCCTCAGCCAGCATGCTTGATTGGAATTCTGGGAGTTGAAGTCCATATTTCTAAAAGTTGCCAAGATTGAAAAACAATGCACTATTCCATGAGTCTAGGTTCTTTTTAGAGAATTAATTACACACCAATTATTTAACTAACAGATATGTCAGTTAAAGATATGTAATATACCTTCTCTGCCTGACTGGTGGGATGGGCTGATGTGTTGGGGTTAAAACAGTTCCTCATTGCAATAGTCTAATGGGAGATGACCAGGAGAAGAGTGATCAAGAGAAAGCTCTCCAACTCTAGGAAGGAACATAACTAGCACACAACACAAAGGCCCTTCTAGTCATGACTGCCAACTGCTCTTCTAGCAGGATTCATGACTCAAGAAGACCCTTAGATTATCCACAGGGTCTGTCTGGGGCAGTGCAGCCCCTTCTAAGAACAAAGATGATCAACCTCCAGATATAGAGGAATTCTCCCCCCCACCCACCCCCACACACATGGTTGATGCTGTTCTTCCCTATCTAGGCCTCCACAGCCTCTAGGCATTGTAAAAGAATGATCCACAGCATCACTTAATTCACCCAGGATGGAGATGAATAA